TAAATGCACTCCAGAAGCATGTAGACTCGATGCCCAAACAAATCATTAGCAATCTGTGCAAAAGGTGGTCCAATAAAATATTGATCTTAAGTTTCTAATTCATTGGCCAGTGTGTGTATTTTGCTGTCAAAATATCAATACTTGTTAGCACATAATGAAGATACCAATGAGCAAGAAGATTTACTTAAAGCAAACTATGCATGAAATACAGATAACAGTGACAAGGATTTGTACGTTGAATGATAGATGAAAAGTCAATAGAGAAACTTTCAAATGCTAATTGAGGCATAAAAGATATGAATCTTAGAGACCTAAATCTTTGCCTCCATTAAGTTCTCAAAATGGTCATTTTCCTTAGAAATTCCTCAACAAAGGCTCAATTCCCTTTTGAGAACACAACCATTCTGTGCTTTACTGTATTCAGTTTAACTAAGTTTTCAAAATGAATGGGGGAAAATAAAGATTCATATTCTGAAGAAAAATTTGTCAAAGGGCAATTTCAAGTTATTAATTATTACATAATAATGAAACATGTTTTTATCAATAATCATTCATTTTAATATACTAATTTAAAAATGTGCTGCATCAAAATATTTCCAAAGATTGAGTAAAAATTCTCTTCCCCAACCTTTCAGTGTTCTAGGATCAAGCTTATCCTCAAGTTGTTTTAAACAGTACTTATACTAAATGTATTTAAAAGCAAAATTTAATTATCCCCCCCCCAAGAAAAAAATCTCTTAAATGCATGATAATTTCCATGCTTTCCTATTACTAAATATTTTAACGACATATTTCATGTAATATGAAGTTTTTTGCGAAAAAAAAAATAGATTTTGGAGAAACTAAGCGTAAATATTCCATTTTTCCCCTACAAAGCAATTTTTTTGTATAACTTTTATCTCATTTAAAGCATTTTATTCCATTATAGAGATTTTTAGAAGTATTTCTTCTCTATTCAGATTTCAGTAGCATAAAAATTTAAGAAATTACAAAATCAAATTTAATTATTAAAAAAATTGTTATTCCAAATTAGAATTAAAATATACTATCATATATCAGAAATATGTTATCACTAGTTTAATATCATCATGAAGTGACTTGTAGAAATGTTCAAAATTCATGCCTACAAACAATTTTTTTCTCTCTTAAATTCGAAATCTGGCTCAAAATCCTTCCAGTATAGAAGGCTGCATGTTCAAAACACATGCAGCTCACCACTATAGTGACTACATGCATTATGTACTCGCTTGGGCGCTGCTTGGTATATGGGTGCTTTCGTATGTCCCCATCTATTAGCATCTCTGAAGTGCAGCAATGAATGAGTTTGGTATGTCCTTGAAGATTTTGATGACCTTGGGGTTTGATACTATGTCTAATAAGTGATAGTTATATATCATACCACTAATGCAAAAGAGCTTTTGCGTGGTAGATTTTGGTATTCAAACTGCTTTGTAATGCAAGCATTTGATTGGCTATTGAGATCATTACACAGGGGTAACATATTAAAGATTGAAAAATATCTACAAGAACAAACCTGTAAGTCTAGCTACTCTAGCAACACTTAGTGGCTAAAAATTATAACGCCATAATTATTAGTATGTATCCAGAACTAGAATTTATTCACAGTTTATATTTATTCTCAACCAAATCTTTAGAAATGTTAGTTCAGGTTTGAATTATAGTACTTCAAAGTGCAGAAATATATATTGTAAATATAGTAAGTACTGTTTAAAAAACAAACGATTTTTAGCAAAATAACTCCATAATTAATTTTATTTTTTTTACATGATTGCATTTACATTTCATGAAATAATCTGATGTATTTTCTATTATACTTTCCACAGAGACAGTTAAAAAACATAACAGCTTTTCATTAATAAGTTCAGCTTTTGTGAATTTATCATTACAAACACAATATCTGAATGAAGTTTACGAAAGCTTCATCATAAAAAAAAAAGTTTTAAACAATTATGCATAGTTTCTCATCATGGCAGTCACTTTTTAAATACCCAAACACAGAATTGTACAGAATGTTAATTACTCTCAATGAAATACATAAGTGGCAATATATTAAATTCAAATGATAAATAAATATACATTCATTTATTAAACAGAACAACATGCAAATTTATACCAACTACTAGTTATGAATAAATATACAAAATCTGCTGTATATTTGACTTCAGGTACAGAATTATATTAAACTAAAAAGCCGATATAATAAATTTAAAAATGAACCTCAAACAAAATAAAACACCACATAATGTATATAGATATTATATATAATTTAAAACAACTTTAAATATTTTTTCATTAGTATCAAGTATTCTAAAATATTATATGACACGTAAATTAAAAGTAAATACAAGCAGAGACTAGAAAAATGCAAAGCATTGTACTAAGGATTAATATAAATTTATAGGAGGAATATACAGAAAAAGGTATATACTGTACATATGCATACAATTTGATAGGTAATTATATATTTAGAACATTCATTCTCAAATCATTCATTCTCTATTAAATAACATTTGTAACTTAATATTAGATCTGATTTTAGTAGATAAGTTGTGCTTTAAAATTTGCAGGAAGTGCCATAAGACAGCTGGAAACTTATGGGCACTCCAAATGGCATAGCTTGTGCTTGTTCTTCAAGGATGTAAGTGTCATAGAAAAGGATTACTAGAGTTGTTCCTAGGAGCTACTGGAAATCCTAAATTGCTAGATGATGCCTAAAGGAAGAAATTTGTTTTTTAAATATTACATAATACAATGAAATAGGGTAAGCAAAAAGTCTTTCACAGATTACAGAAGTTTATTGGAAGAAAACTACTATAATTAGACGTATATGTTTTTTTTTTTTTTTTTAAATATTAACTAAAGGAATTAAATTTATTTCTGAATAATACTAAATTAAAAAATTTTAGCATGTGTCCCTTTTGTAGAATAATGCAATATATGTTTCCTAATTCTTGCCACCTTTCTTCAGCATTTGATCTGTAACACTTGACATAGCATTTGTTATTCTGGCCTTAAAAACATCAGTATCATGAAATGGTATGGCTAAGAATCAATCCTTGATATATCCTCTGTTGATTTATGAATGCTTTTAACAATCTTATCATTTACAGTAGACCTGCCACAAGGTCACTAATGCTTTCAAACTTTTAATATCAATTCCTGATGTTCTTAACATCTGGAGCACTGACTCCATGCAAATTTCTAGGCTGCTGCTGATGGGCTATAAAAAGTTTTGTGATACTACAAATCACACTTATTTTTCTCTTTCAATGACATCATTTTATAATCAACTATTTCTTGGCACCACCTACTGCATGATCATAAAGCTGCTCAGATGAGATAATGGCTAGTGTCATTGACTGCTGCACCAAAGGGCCTGGAGATAGCATGGATATTATTTACCTGTGCAGCAAGGAGGCACTCAAATTATGTGGTGAGCTTAAATCCTCTTGATTGGTAGAAGAGGAAAAGGCGGGGGCTACTGGACCCCCGCTCCTCGGTGGTTAATTTTTACAAATTATATAGTACTCAAATGCATAAACATGAAAGTGTCGGGGACGGTTACTCGAGTTAAAATAGGATTTCTCTACAGTAATTGATTTTTACTCCAAATTGAATTGACTAAAATGCTTCATAAGAATAAGTTCTTTGAGTATCACATTGGTTCATAATTCCTTCTATTCGCGGAAATATTTGGCCTGACTAGAATTGCCGTTTGGCTTTAACTTTAACTCGGTAAAGACGAAACACTTTCGTATTTACGCATTTTATCAATTATTGTTCATTGAACGGGAGTGGTTTGTTCCCCTTGAAAAGTCAACTAATTTCCGATCAATGACAATGATTACATGTTTTAATTTTTTCCTTTTCAATTGAAATTTTATTCTCATGATGATTTAACTCCAGTCCCTGTTAAAACTTATTAACATTTTGCTTTCAAATTACTTTCAAAACATCTTTCAAAATATAACTTACCAGTATGGATTCACACTTTTAAAAATAATTCTACTTTAATTAACTTAGGAGATAATATTATCAATTAATCAATACTGTTTAGGAAATAAATTATTATCAACTAACTTTGCAGCATTGCGCAGTAGTATAACTTGTATTCGCATAGATGGATTAAAATCAACAACATTATATATATATATATTATATATAGTTTTTTTTTTAAATCAGAGAAAAGACTTTTGCTTATCCTGTTACTTATCCAGTACAGTAAACCTCCAACATGCAAAGATTCTAGTTTTACAGATTTGGAGGATTTACTTGCATTCCTTATCAAAAAATATGTTAGTGAATAAAAAAGTAAGGTCAATGTTTTTTATTTTTTAGGTAAACAGAGTAGTACAGACTGATACTAGATTAAATTATTTAATTTTGATAAATTTCACTTTGATAAAGCTGTAGCATACCAGCTTTGCCAAATTTTTAATGGCAAGGGATACTTTTCTGAAGGGTTTCCTTAGGAAAATTGGCACATATTCATATTATAGATGGGAAAAACGAAAGAACACCAATGCATTCAGGTGAAACCTGAACTGAACTAACAGAGTTCAATCTTATCTATTCAGCCACTGCTAGATAAACTCAGAAGGCCTTATAGTCAAACCAGTAATCCTCTGAATGGTAAGTGAGTGCCACAGTTTTTGTTCTACTGGTTTCAATTGATAATGAAAAGTGGTTGATGCAGTCTTTAATCTTCTAATCTGGTGTAAATGCCACGTAAGATTTGCTAAACATTTTAAAGATTAAAAAATAAGCACATATACAGTTAAAACTTATATTAAAACATGTGAGGTTTACCTATTTATTTTAACTAATAGCTCATTCTAAGTTGAAAAGCCTTTCCTATTACGCTCTGTTCACCCACGCGTTTCACGCCAGAATGTAAACAAGATAGCGAGAGTTTATTCAGATTAAGGTAGAATGAAGTGCTACTAAAACATGAGTTTCAGAGCATGTCTGCGTATTCCAGGACATATTGTGCTGTGATTATTAGCAATTTGTATTACTGGCATTGAGCATTCTAGCCACTAGGCTTGTCGCCGGTTTACTATAAACCAGAGCTCTTCCTGCAAGTTAAAGTAGTCTGTGAGCCATTAGGCTAATCTACTACCACACCTTGAAATTTAGAATTTTTTTTATGTTATTCTGTTAACAAGTAATATGGAGGACTATATTGAAACTCCAGTTCAGAAGAAAGGTCCATCCTTGTGGATGTTTCACCAGCAGAATTCTCAGAAGCACAAAAAACATGCACTAGTTTAGCGGCTCTCTAGAAGAAAGAGAAAAGCAAAAAGGAAAAAGTTTATAATTGGAAAGGTGAGGCTACTCAGAGTGGCAGGTTCTAAAAATGGGGAAGATAAGCTTCAACTGTGTGTGCCTTTGTTTTTAGGAAAGGGATCTTGAAGTTATGCCACGAGGAAATCTTTGGTCATTTAGGGGTAACAAAAACCAAGGATACAGTTTTGACACACATTTCTGGCCAAATTGTTACCAGCAAATTGAAGAATTTGTGAGGACGTGCGATATTTGTCAGCGTTTAGATCACAATAGGGATAAAAAGGAAAGCCCCAATGAAGATTGTGCCCCTTATATCAGAAGTGCATAGCAGATTTGCATCATGTGTTTCATTTTAAAAATGGTTAGAACCAAATGTTTTATCTCAAGTATTAGCATTTTGTCAAATTTGAGGAATATACTTTTTATGAGGCAGACATTAGGAGAAGTTTAAATTATTTTTGTTGTATTTTTCCTTTTATGTTATCCCTTCCATAGTCTAGGAAAATTCTTCTATGAGGAGAGGATTTGTGATAAGGTGGCATAAAGTTTCTTTGTCTAGGATGAGTAATTTCAGAGCGCAATAATTTTCATATCAACGGTGAAATCCTGTGCCTTTGTTAATGATTCCGGTTGCAGCCTCGAAGGTCGTCGCTCCAGTGGACAAAGAGGTAAAAGAAGTCTTTTCACCAGGGTCAGGAGATGGACACTTTGTTAGGTATGAGTGAAAGAATCTTCTTCCCCCCGCGAGTTCAGCACAAGTAAACACAGGGAGATATATAAGGTGGTTTCCTGAGAAGAGAGAACAACTTTCTTGTTTAGAGCTATGGACATGTTGGCCTGCTAAGAACGATCATTCCTTGTGTATCACGTGTCGCATTAGAGCATTTTTCCTGTAACAAAATTCTGAAATTACAGGACTAAAATATATCCAAGTCCCATACTGTCAAGATATGCAACTGTTAAGGTTTTCATCGTACTAAAATTCATGTTATTGTTAAAACTTGAGGTAGAAGTTCATTTCAACCCTATGTCACAGCCCAGGGTTTGCACAGCGGTTTTGGCCACTACACCACAATACATTTTTCATATGTCACAGACATTTCTGGATTTTTTACTATTAAAATATCTGCCAGCTTTCTGTGGGAAAAAAATTCAAAAAAGCCATAAAATAAATTCTGCAGAGAAAAATAACACATATCCAAAACTTTGAATTACAAATGAAAAGACTTAACAATAAAATCAATTTTAATGTAATAAATGAAATCAATTTTAATAATAATAAATGAAATCAATTTTCATGTAATTATAGCAGAACTTTTGCTTCTGCTAAAGCATTATATTTAATAAATTTATTTTCTTTTTTTAATTTAAAAAAAAGATAGTTGAAAATTGCTAGAATGAAAGAGAAAAATATTTTTAAAGCACGATAGACAAAAATAAAAATATTTTAACATTACTTTTATAAAAAACATAACTGTAATATGTTGCCATTATTTCAATGTCACTGTAATAATGTTATTATATTCATTTTGTCTTCAAGAAATTCGCAAATCATCAAATCAAAATTTCTGTATTCATATGATTTTAAAATAACCAAAATATTGATATGTCACCATACTTAGATTTGTACACAATAGAATTCAGACTGCCAAAGGAGAAAAAGATTGTTCTGATATGATACAGATAACAAATTTAAACAGTAATCTGAATGTCTACCAGAAAACTTTATTGCAAAATTTAAGATCTCAAAACTTGAGAAATTTTCATAAAAATTACGAACAATTTGTGAAAATTGACAGTTATGCATAAATAAGAGTTTATAAATATCAGTAGAACGTAAAGTGCTGGCCATCCAAAATATAAATTATGAAGGAAGCATCCAAACAGCATGAAACTTGCATCATGTGTATACCATCATGAAATATGCAAATGAGTATAATTTTATGGTGTGCACACAGGTCCGCGCCAAGCGTAATTGGCGCCGTCGTGCAAATGTCTAGCGAGCGCCTTTATGCAATGATGCCTTTTGCTTATGGTTAACATTTAAAATGAAGTATTATTAACATAATGATATGAAAAAAAATTATCTTTAGTCTAAATATGCAAACATTTTGTGCTTTGTTAAAACCCACACTTAAACATATTTGTTGAAGAATTATACATACATTTATGTTATAAAAGCCGCCTAACCGGTACAGAGGATAATTGCTGATTGCGGTGCTTAAGGGCCCGGGTTCAAATCTCGGAGAAGGCATGGGTGTTTGTAAATGTATAGTGTCCATGGGGTAAGGAGGCACTCTAAATGTGCGAGGTGAAAGTCTTCCCGAAAGGTTGGTTGGTGGCAGGGAAACAGGGGGAGATGCTCGGACGCCCTTCCAGCTTTTCATCAAAATTGGAGCCGAAACTGAGCGAAATCGCATTG